TACTTATTTATATAATCATCAGATTTCCTCACATCTTTTAAGTTTTTGAGATTCTATTAGTATATATAAGTTACCTAACTTAGTAGGAAATCCCTGAATAAATTTTTTATCGTTGGATTTATACTTATTTATATAATCATCAGATTTCCTCACATCTTTTAATTTTTTTGAGATTCTATTAGTATATATAAGTTACCTAACTTAGTAGGAAATCCCTGAATAAATTTTTTATCGTTGGATTTATACTTATTTATATAATCATCAGATTTCCTCACATCTTTTAATTTTTTTGAGATTCTATTAGTATATATAAGTTACCTAACTTAGTAGGAAATCCCTGAATAAATTTTTTATCGTTGGATTTATACTTATTTATATAATCATCAGATTTCCTCACATCTTTTAATTTTTTTGAGATTCTATTAGTATATATAAGTTACCTAACTTAGTAGGAAATCCCTGAATAAATTTTTTATCGTTGGATTTATACTTATTTATATAATCAACAGATTTCCTCACATCTTTTAATTTTTTTGAGATTCTATTAGTATATATAAGTTACCTAACTTAGTAGGAAATCCCTGAATAAATTTTTTATCGTTGGATTTATACTTATTTATATAATCATCAGATTTCCTCACGTCTTTTAATTTTTTTGAGATTCTATTAGTATATATAAGTTACCTAACTTAGTAGGAAATCCCTGAATAAATTTTTTATCGTTGGATTTATACTTATTTATATAATCATAAGATTTCCTCACATCCTTTAATTTTTTTGAGATTCTATTACTGTATATAAGTTACCTAACTTAGTAGGAAATCCCTGAATAAATTTTTTATCGTTGGATTTATACTTATTTATATAATCATCAGATTTTCTCACATCTTTTAATTTTTTTGAGAATCTATTAGTAAATATAAGTTACCTAACTTAGTAGGAAATCCCTGAATAAATTTTTTATCGTTGGATTTATACTTATTTATATAATCATCAGATTTCCTCACGTCTTTTAATTTTTTTGAGATTCTATTAGTATATATAAGTTACCTAACTTAGTAGGAAATCCCTGTATAAATTTTTTATCGTTGGATTTATACTTATTTATATAATCATAAGATTTCCTCACATCTTTTAATTTTTTTGAGATTCTATTACTGCATATAAGTTACCTAACTTAGTAGGAAATCACTGAATAAATTTTTTATCGTTGGATTTATACTTATTTATATAATCATCAGATTTCCTCACATCTTTTAATTTTTTTGAGAATCTATTAGTAAATATAAGTTACCTAACTTAGTAGGAAATCCCTGAATAAATTTTTTATCGTTGGATTTATACTTATTTATATAATCATCAGATTTCCTCACATCTTTTAATTTTTTTTAGAATCTATTAGTAAATATAAGTTACCTAACTTAGTAGGAAATCCCTGAATAAATTTTTTATCGTTGGATTTATACTTATTTATATAATCATCAGATTTCCTCACGTCTTTTAATTTTTTTGAGATTTTATTAGTATATATAAGTTACCTAACTTAGTAGGAAATCCCTGAATAAATTTTTTATCGTTGGATTTATACTTATATATATAATCATAAGATTTCCTCACATCTTTTAATTTTTTTGAGATTCTATTACTGCATATAAGTTACCTAACTTAGTAGGAAATCCCTGAATAAATTTTTTATCGTTGGATTTATACTTATTTATATAATCATCAGATTTCCTCACATCTTTTATTTTTTTTGAGAATCTATTAGTAAATATAAGTTACCTAACTTAGTAGGAAATCTCTGAATAAATTTTTTATCGTTGGATTTATACTTATTTATATAATCATCAGATTTCCTCACATCTTTTAATTTTTTTGAGAATCTATTAGTAAATATAAGTTACCTAACTTAGTAGGAAATCCCTGAATAAATTTTTTATCGTTGGATTTATACTTATTTATATAATCATCAGATTTCCTCACATCTTTTAATTTTTTTGAGATTCTATTAGTATATATAAGTTACCTAACTTAGTAGGAAATCCCTGAATAAATTTTTTATCGTTGGATTTATACTTATTTATATAATCATCAAATTTCCTCACATCTTTTAATTTTTTTGAGATTCTATTAGTATATATAAGTTACCTATCTTAGTAGAAAATCCGTGAATAAAATTTTTATCGTTAGATTTATACTTATTTATATAATCATCAGATTTCCTCACATCTTTTAATTTTTTTGAGATTCTATTAGTATATATAAGTTACCTAACTTAGATGGAAATCTGTGAAAAAACTTTTTATCGTTGGATTTATACTTATTTATATAATCATCAGATTTCCTCACATCTTTTAATTTTTTTGAGATTCTATTAGTATATATAATTTACCTAACTTAGTAGGAAATCCCTGAATAAATTTAATTTTTTATCGTTGGATTTCTTATTTATATAATCATCAGATTTCCTCACATCTTTTAATTTTTTTGAGAATCTATTAGTATATATAAGTTACCTAACTTAGTAGGAAATCCCTGAATAAATTTTTTATCGTTGGATTTATACTTATTTATATAATCATCAGATTTCCTCACATCTTTTAATTTTTTGAGATTCTATTAGTATATATAAGTTACCTAACTTAGTAGGAAATCCCTGAATAAATTTTTTATCGTTGGATTTATACTTATTAATATAATCATCAGATTTCCTCACATCTTTTAATTTTTTTGAGATTATATTAGTATATATAAGTTACCTAACTTAGTAGGAAATCCCTGAATAAATTTTTTATCGTTGGATTTATACTTATTTATATAATCATCAGATTTCATTACATCTTTTAATTTTTTTGAGATTCTATTAGTATATATAAGTTACCTAACTTAGTAGGAAATCCCTGAATAAATTTTTTATCGTTGGATTTATACTTATTTATATAATCATCAGATTTCCTCACATCTTTTAATTTTTTTGAGATTCTATTAGTATATATAAGTTACCTAACTTAGTAGGAAATCCCTGAATAAAAATTTTATCGTTGGATTTATACTTATTTATATAATCATCAGATTTCCTCACATCTTTTAATTTTTTTGAGATTCTATTAGTATATATAATTTACCTAACTTAGTAGGAAATCCCTGAATAAATTTGATTTTTTATCGTTGGATTTCTTATTTATATAATCATCAGATTTCCTCACATCTTTTAATTTTTTTGAGATTCTATTAGTATATATAAGTTACCTAACTTAGTAGGAAATCCCTGAATAAATTTTTTATCGTTGGATTTATACTTATTTATATAATCATCAGATTTCCTCACATCTTTTAATTTTTTGAGAAAAGATGTGAGGAAATCTGATGATTATATAAATAAGTATAAATCCAACGATAAAAAATTTATTCACGGATTTTCTACTAAGTTAGGTAACTTATATATACTAATATAATCTCAAAAAAATTAAAAGATGTGAGGAAATCTGATGATTATATTAATAAGTATAAATCCAACGATAAAAAATTTATTCAGGGATTTCCTTCTAAGTTAGGTAACTTATATATACTAATAGAATCTCAAAAAAATTAAAAGATGTGAGGAAATCTGATGATTATATAAATAAGTATAAATCCAACGATAAAAAATTTATTCACAGATTTTCTACTAAGTTAGGTAACTTATATATACTAATAGAATCTCAAAAAAATTAAAAGATGTAAGGAAATCTGATGATTATATAAATAAGTATAAATCCAACGATAAAAAATTTATTCAGGGATTTCCTACTAAGTTAGGTAACTTATATATACTAATAGAATCTCAAAAAAATTAAAAGATGTGAGGAAATCTGATGTTTATATAAATAAGTATAAATCCAACGATAAAAAATTTATTCAGGGATTTCCTACTAAGTTAGGTAACTTATATATACTAATAGAATCTCAAAAAAATTTAAAGATGTGAGGAAATCTGATGATTATATAAATAAGTATAAATCCAACGATAAAAAATTTATTCAGGGATTTCCTACTAAGTTAGGTAACTTATATATACTAATAGAATCTCAAAAAAATTAAAAGATGTGAGGAAATCTGATGATTATATAAATAAGTATAAATCCAACGATAAAAAATTTATTCAGGGATTTCCTACTAAGTTAGGTAACTTATATATACTAATAGAATCTCAAAAAAATTAAAAGATGTGAGGAAATCTGATGATTATATAAATAAGTATAAATCCAACGATAAAAAATTTATTCAGGGATTTCCTACTAAGTTAGGTAACTTATATATACTAATAGAATCTCAAAAAAATGAAAAGATGTGAGGAAATCTGATGATTATATAAATAAGTATAAATCCAACGATAAAAAATTTATTTAGGGATTTCTTAGTAAGTTAATTAATTAACATATACCAATTAATCATAAAGCAATATATTATATAAACCAATATATATTTATATATCTAAATATAATATAAATAATTATAAGTAAATTTATATATGATGAAATTATATTCAATATATAATTAAATTAATATATAAAATATATTATACTAACTATGTTAATAATATTAACTATTATATTAAATTTAAATATATTGATTACATTATATTAAATACTACTAACAATCATATATTTAATTATTTTATATATCAATTAATTAAATATTTAAATATATTATAAATATTTATAATTAAATTTTATATATGAAATTTAAATATATTGATTACATTATATTAAGTTTTTTATATATCAATTAATTAATTAATATTTAAATTGTATTATTTACTTTATTAAATTACAAATTTCTAATAATTCGTTATTAATTTAATATTAATTTAAATTATAAAATCTCATTTGTAATAACCGATTGAAATTTATTGGCGGCCATGTTTTAATTTTTTATTTATATTTTAAAATCTCTCGCTTCAACCTTTAAGGGCCATATTGGTCGCCATTTTCGCTTATTTGTCTTTTCGCTACTTTTTAATATTCGAGACAGCGGACCCAAATCGTAAATTCAATTTCACCTTTTCGTAAAGCGACAAAACGTATAAAGTTAATAATAATTCGAGACTACGGGACGATCAATGCATAATATGTCATTGGGGACGATACGATTTTGACAATGATATATATCATTGGATTTTGAACTTGGCAATTTCGTGTGGTAACCAAAACTTTACCTATATATACTTTCATATAAAACTTATAGATAAAGGTAGAGGAGAATAAAAATAAACTAAATTAAAAAGAGTTTTTTGTTCAAATATTTTATATTACAATTACAAATCTAAATTTGATTTCTTCTTATATAAAAGTATGACTAAATTAATATATTTTAATCCAAAATGGTTCTTTCCACTGAAACCTATGTAGTTGGAACCACTGACACCATTTATAGTAATAAATAGAGTTTCAATTTGTTATTAAAATATGGAGATATTTTAAAAATTTTTAATTAAAATACATGCAAAAAAGAAATAGTGTAAAATCATTTTTTTTAAAAATAATTGAAAACAGAAACTTTCAAAAGTGGGCAAGCCCCTTCAATAATATGGAAAGCCAATTCTAAGCCCAAGAAAATCATGGATAGGCTTATGTTCTGCAAGTTAAATGTATTTGGAGAAGTATTTATTATTAAATATAAATAGTACGTAATTTCTTATGGATTTTAGTACGAAGTATATTTCCTTTTGTATACTAGGATATCCAACAAGAAGTTAACCTTAATTGTTTTTGTTTGATGAATTGAAAAATTACAACATTCATGTCAAAAGTAATAAATGGCCTAATTCGTTTTCCATGTTATGCATTGGATAAACATAAAATCATATTTAAAATTATCGAAAGTAGGACAGTTTATATTCAATATAATTGCATAAGAATTATTTGAAAAAATTCTCACCTAATATTAACCTTGAGTCCATGCTAAATTATAGATGTCCTCTCAAATATCTTTGCTTCAATCGATCCTTTTTAAGTTTTGAAGCTCAAAAATGTTAACCCAAATTATTTTAAAAATTAGAAATATTTCAGAAGGGCAAATTCCTCCTATATGTTGCATATTGATAGCTCTAAATAAGAAATAATTAAAAATATTTCTGAAGTTCTATCCACAATGACTTGAATAAATATTTTTGACATAATCTCAATTCTTATGGAAAGAAAGATGATCTACAAAATGAATGGTAAGAAATATTTAACTTATTTTTGCTTAAAATAATTTTCAATAAACAATTCTATTACAATAATATATTTTTTAAAAAAATGTATAAAGGTGATTGCTTTTAATATATGATTTAAATTTTTTTTTAAATATTATCCTATAATAAATGATTTATATTTCATTTAAAAATTTCAAAAAAAAGAAAATAAAATAATTTCTAATATATAAAATAATTATATCAAGTATATAAAAAAAATATATAAAATATTTTATAAAATAAATTACAAAATGTAGAAATTTTATACAGATTATATTAAAAATTTATTGTAAATAACTATATTTGATAAACAAGGAGGGAAATGGGAGTGTTTCGAAGAAACATTTGTAGTTCCCCTTTAGGATTTCAAATTGAATTTTTTGTTATCTTTTTGCTTTAATAAAAATTTTAAATGAATTACATATATACAGAATATTGAAATCTTGTTGGTTTGACCATTAAATTGTTGATCAAAAGTGAAGAATATATTATATAATAATCAATGAAAGTAATTGAAAAAATATCTCTATGATACCTGACTGGCACAACACATTAAATCCTTATCATTGAAGGGCAAATCAAAACACATATCTTTGTAAAATGCTCCTTCAACAACATAAGGTAAAGATAGAGTTGGGCAGTACCACGAATACTTGTATCTAAGATACAAGATTCTTTTGTATCTTGTACTCAGTATCTTTTTGACATTATTAATAAGATACTAGTATCTGTATCTAAGATCCTTTATTCTGAAAAGAATCTTGTATCTTTTTCATTTTCTTGACAAAAGATACAAATACATTTTTAATATTCATGTTTAAAATTTTACATATCACAGTATATATCTTATTTTCTTCGAGAATCTTATATTAATTTCCTTAGTTTTTTTTTACCATATTTTAAATATAATGTCAAAATTAGCTGGAAAATTTACTTCATATTAAGGTAGATATAGTGTTGTTAAACGGGTCATTTTGAGCCGATTTTTTAAAACGGCTAACTCAATATTTTAGCCAGAAAAATATTGCCTAAGCCTCGAGATTTCGTTAATGTATGCCTAGACCTTTGTTCCTTCTATGAGCAAAATCTTCAGGCTTGCGTAAGATCTTTCTGTGTGAAATAATGAGTTAGCAGTTTTTAAAAATCGGCTCAAAACAAACCGTTTAATAACACTAGGTAGATAGATAAAAAATAACAGCACCAAAACGAAATAAGTAAAGATTATATTTTATATATAAATTTTATTCGATAGAGTATCATTACCAATTTTATGTAATATTTTTTTAATTTGTAGGATGATTAACACTCATGTTAGTAAAATTTAAATTATGAAATAATTTCCCGTAAATCAAATCGAAATCTAAAAATTTTATATAGAAATTTTTTAAAAATAATATTTAACCCTTCACTACAAAGGTGGGGTAAATAGGACCCCACAACTTTTATAATCTTTGTAATACAAAAGCTAGAAGATATTCCGACCTGATTTTTTCAGTAGTTTAATATTTTGTAACAAGGAATACAACTTCCAAATTTCATGATTATTGATTTGATAGTTTTTGAGATATATGCTATTTGTTGAGCTTGGGATAAAATATACCCCACCTATGTAATGATGTAATTTTTTTTTTAAATCCAATTTTTTTTTGTTGCTAATTATATTTATGTATGTCAGGCTAATAAATATAATTGAAAAAAATATAATTATATCTATTTTTTGATTGATATATATGACTTTAAATTTGAAAATTTTATATATTTTTTCGGTGGAGTAAAAAATCATAAATTTAACATATGATTTTTAATTTGAATTATTCTAGTGACATTTTATACTTTGAAAATAGAATTATATGCTGGCAATCAGCCTGAAGGACCTTATAAATTGAGAAATAAGCCTTTTGATGTGGTTGAAAGGTTAATTCAGCCCATTTTTAAGAGTAATAGGAATGTCACCACAGATAACTGGTTTACCAGTTATGAACTTGCTATACATTTATTAAATTCCCATTCATTAACAATAGTAGGAACTTTAAGAAAAAATAAATAGCAGTTTCCAACATCATTTAATTTAAAAAAAAGAAATTTTTTCAAGTTTATTTGCCTGCTAATATAATATGACATTAGTATCATATGTACCAAAAAAGTTGCTTTCTACCCTTCACTATGATAACAATATTGATACATCAACTGGGGATTTGAAAAAAACCAGAAATTATCACATTTTACAATCTCACCAAAGCTGGTGTTGATGTTGTGGATCAGCTATGTTCAAATTATTCAATATCCAGAATAACAAATAGATGGCCATGACAATTTTTTATAATTTGTTGAATATATCTTGCATAAATTCTTTAATAATTTATAAATCCAATAATTTAAAGGAGATTAATAGATCAAAGTTTATAAAATTATTAGCAATGGAGCTAATAACTCTATTAATGAGTAATAGATATGAAAACCCACATGTTAATAAACTACTAAGGGATAATATTGGGAACATGCTAAATATAGAGGAATTAAAACCTATTTCAACCAAACAAAAAGGAAGGTGCCCCTCTTGTCTAAGGGTTAAGGACAAGAAATCCTCATTTATTTGTTCAAAATTTATATGCAAAAGTCATATGTATGTAACATGTCGTGAATGTTTTTTTAAAAAAAATGCATGAACTTTAATATCAAATATTTTTTTTAATATCTGATGTTTTATTATAAAATTCATTTAATTATTACTATAAAATATTGAATTAATAAAATATATAATCAAATTTGCTTCCATTCATTTATTTTTGGTCATATCATATGATTAAGGAAAGTTCCAAAAAAAAGGTTTTTTTTGAGCAGCTTTAGTAAATATATCATAACTTTATTTATAAATAAATGTAAATCTAGAAATTTTGTATTTATTATCTCTAATATTTTTACAATAAGTACATAAAATTTTAGTTCTTAAATTTTATTATTTTCTGAGATATAGCTATTTAAAATTTGGGGTAAAATAGACCCCACCTATGTAACCGCGGGAGTTTTTTTCACCTATGTAGTGAAGGGTTAAAAAAGACAATGTACAGGCTAGATGTAAAACATGTATAAACAAAAAAAAGGATAAATGATTAAATAAAAATTTTGTTAAACATATTAAAGTATATTATTTATGTGTGGTTAAAAAGAGCATAAGTTATCTTAAATATTGAAGTTTATAATATTGCTACCTTTATTAAAAGCTGCCTAAGGTCGTGTGAGAAATTGATTTTAAGAAAATATTTTTCTATGATTTGAATATAATAAGGTTTTTTTGACATCAATATCACATCCATATTTTAAGAACTTATGAATTGAGTCAGATGATAAAAACAAATATTTTCAAAATATAATAATAAAAAAGCCCTAAATGTAGACCAGAGTATATAATCAAGCTCAAACTATAACACCGATACATTTAACGATTATTTTTCTTTTGGTGAAACAAATGTTGCTGAGTTCAATAATACAAAGAACATTGAATGGGAGGCTTTAAATTATATTAAAGAAAGTCGAAATACATTATAAATGCTTAATTATTATCCTTTCATTAAGGAAATTTTTTATAAATATAATATTGCAATACCTTTATCAGCTCCAATTGAAAGATAATTTAGTTTTGGCACAGTAGGCCAAAACGGCAAAGGTCTAATGATAAATTATTTGAAATTGATTATCTTATAAAATGATGAATCTATTAATACTCTTTTGCAAATTAATATTTGAACTCCCATTAAAATACTAGTTCTCCCTTCCCTATCTATTCTAAGAATAGGCTATTAATAATTAAAATGCCTGATTATTATAATTAAATCATCATTAAATACTCATTCTTGTTATATGCGTATGTTATGTTCTTCACAAATAAATAATAAAAACTGTATTTTATAAACTATTTTAATTTAATTGATAATGATAATGATAATTTAAAAGTATATTGTATTTCAGATACTCTAATTAGGCAAAAGATACAAGTATCTTTTATCTTGTATCTTTTTGATATTTTGAAAAAGATACTAGTATCTGTATCTAAGATTCATTTTTTCACAAAGAATCTATATCTGTATCTAGATTCTTTTTTCGGAGGACCTGCCCAACTCTGGTAAAGATGAATAGATTCTTTGAAAGAGATATTTTATTTTTTTATTATATAAATGACTATTTTATAAATTATTTGCACTAGTGTTGTCAAAAGGCTCGATTTGGTTTGATTTTAAAAAAACGGCCAGATTAAGATTTTAACCAAAATATTATTGTGTAAACCTGGAGATTTTGCTCATAGATGTCAGAAAGGTTTGGATATCTATATGTAAAATCTCGAGGTTTTATTTTTTTTGGCTAAAATCTTAATCGGGCTGTTTTTAAAAATCGACCCAAATTGGGATTTTTAATAATACTATGGAACTTTACAAAAGAAATATTGATAATATAATTTAAGATATAATTTCTATTTAACGAAAATAAAATAGACAGTTAAAATAAATTAATTCAAAAGTATTATATGATTTAATTTTTATCCTGCTTTTATCATGAATCTAAGGGTTAAATTTTCAAACTTAATTAACTTATTTAAACCTGAAAATAAAAACTATACCCTAATCCTAATCATAAATTATTATATTTTCCAACAAATATCAATAGAAATAAAAATTTCTTAGGCTCTGAGCATCATATTTTA